GTCATTCTGGGTGTTTTGGTGTTGTTACGTTTGAGCTTATTTATTCTTTCTGCCTCAAGGTTTCCTGCTTCATTTACTCTTTCAATCAGAGTTTCATCGGTCACCTCCATGTTATCAAGGTATGGCTTAATCTGATATTTGATGTTGTCACTGAGCAGCCCTGTACCAACTGACCGTAGAAACTTCTTCCTGCCAGGTCTGCACTGTAGTGCTCCTCCGAGTCTCTGTCCTTGGATGTAAACAGCAGTCTATCTTTTAGTTCAATAGCTCTGAACAAAAACTCTTGTGCTGATTCTTTCGGCTCCTGGGACATGCTGATCAATTTTTGGTACAGATCTGAAGTGTCATCTTCGTTGTAATGCCCCTTTTAATATGATCTTTAGCTGAGGCAGAGTCAATTCAGTCTTTATTTCTAGCATGTCACGCAGCTTTAAGCCAGGGCTAATGGCCCTTATCACAGCCTCGATTACTTCCGACTCACCATGACCCTTGCGAAGCCCGCTCTCTATCTGGTGTATTAGGTTGGTATATGACAGTTTGTCACGCTGCCCTCCTTCACCGATTTGGCCGCAGATGCGGAACTCTCGCCTGATGGTTACCTCTGGCACCTTAGCTGTGAATAGTGGCCCGCTAGTGCTGCTGCTGACGCCATCTGATATGTTTAGTTTTTCAACCAGCATCTTTATTTCGTCTTCCAAACTCTTTCGGGACTGCTGCAGCTCCAGAGATTTATCTCTCATCTCAGTGTCATGGCGGCGCTCGCGCGCTTTTCTGTCTCCGTCTTCGGTCAGGCCCTCCATGAAAACTAGCAACTCTTGGATTACTTTACATGCTTCCTCTGCATCTGCTTTTTCTTCAATTTCGTCAATTTAGTTTTCTGCTATTTTAAATAATGTTCGTCTGTTTTTATCAGCAAAAGTATCTTCTTCATCATCTTCTATACAATGCAGATATTTACAGACCTCCACCATCCGGTCACGGTTTTGCTGACTCAGAGCAATGGTGGCGCGATCTAGGAGAATCTCCAAATCCATATTTTCCTCACGGTACAGTGTTATCTTTCTTTTCCTGGTTCGTCTCAGGATAAAAGCCCTCTTTTAATCCATTTAGAGCTAATATCCTGGCTAGCTCGCCAATATATGTTGCACTCAAGGACTCAAGCGGACATCACTTGTCTTTTCTCACTCGTGGCAACTTTAATAAGAACCAAAAACTCTTGTCACAGTTCCCTCAACCACCGAGGAAGAAACGCTCTTCCTCACCTTCACGCCCTCAGGCGGAGCCTTGTGGCGAAAACAGGCAACTACATGCACCAACTAACCCTGCTTTAACAGTAAACATAACATGCAAACATTCATACATAGTTGGCACAAAGACACTAGACAAATAAACATAACACATCGTGAACAATATCGTCACATTTTCTTGCCTTTGCTGCCGTGAGTTTTGGTCGCACAGTGATGATACTTATACTATTGGAATCCGTGGAATCTCAGCTTTCATATGATATATTGTTTGTGCAGATCCGATGAAGTATAAAATATTGCTACTGTGAGTTATGTGCTAAGTGCGTTAGCACTCTTTTGCTTAGTGCTAATTCAGACGCTTGGCGTTAGACTTATGTTTTGTTTCGGTAGAAATGGGTCATATCGTCAGTTAGCTGAGTTTCTTCCCGTTAAGTGGGTATGACACATTAAGGTAGTTAAATGTTAAGAAGCCCTGAGACAAAGTTTCGTGAAAATTGTTCCGATAGCTCCCGCCTGGCTGGCTATTAACAGGTTAATGTTAAAAAAGCTCTTTATTTTTCCCATACTGCCTGTGCTGCACCCTCTGTCTGAAACCAAAGCAGACTGCTCTGATTGGTTAGCTGGCCGGCTCTGTTGTGATTGGTCGATAACTCAGAGATGTCCCGCCTGTTAGCCTGTCATGTACAATGTATTAGAGCACTAGCCAATATAAGGGGCGAGTGTTACATTCTAGCAGGGTGGGGGCGCGGGGGGTGGCAGTATTATCAGCATTTTCTTTAAAACCAATTATCTCAGGCAGAATTGGAAAATAGCATTCCCTTATTTCCAGCCAACAACTCTTGATAACTATATCATTTTGAGTCAAAGTCTGGAGCTGGAGCTGCATTTTCACGGCAATAAGCCAACACTCTTACCAGTCGATAATTCATGTATCAGAGATGGATAATTCATCATTAACTCGTGGAGTAAACGTTCCAAATGTATTAAATGTGGATCACTGAAGCAGTAAGCAAATTAGCCAGAAAGCAGACATTTGGAGCTAAACATAGCAGATAAGTTCCCAGCTACAGTTGCTAAGCTGTTATTACAAAATTGTTGTTTGGGAGAAAGGTTTAGGGAATGCAACTAAATTGTCAGTTTTAAACTTGAGTGTAAATTGAGTTAATACGCCTGTTAATCCAACCTGTAATGCTTGAAGATACGCTGGAGGAATCCAAAATATCCGCATATCAGGCCCCATTCTGCTTTTTGGGGTTTTCCCTTTCCTGTCGAGTCCTGAAATTGAGCATAATTTGGCGGCTGTGGCTAAGTGGATAGAGTGCTGGACTTCGAATCGGGGGGTAAGTTTGAGTCCCACTGCAGTCAGCATGTCGTTGTGTCCCTGGGCAAGACACTTCACCCCAAATTGCTCCTGTGGGGATTGCCCGTAGTATTGAGTATGTAAGTCGCTTTGGATAAAAGCATCTAACAAATGACATGTAATGTAATGTAATAATAGGGCCCCTTTAATAGCCTTTAATTAAAATCCAAACATTCCAGAAATGCTGGAGGATTCCAATTAATTTGATGACACTTGACTGCATGTGCCTTTTCACCATGTGCATGAAACAGTATGGAATAAGATGCCTGTCACAGAATATTCCCTCCCTGTCTCTATTAGCTTGAAAGGTCATATTGATTCCTCAGTTTATCAAATCAGCACTCAGCAGCCTGAGACATAAACACCAAAAACTTCAGCGACTTCTGTTCCCTCTCTGTTCATTGTCAGCCTTCAGTATTCCATTATTGTAATATTTATTGGAAATACTTTCCATAGACAGAATAGAAAGAAAATAAATTCACAAATATAAACTCAAGAACCACTTCCACCCACTCTTCTCTCTTCCTGACTTCCTCACGACTCCTTTGCCAACATCCACAGCCTCAGACAGCCTGCACTCGCCTGGGGAGTGAGCACGAGTCCAGTATGTTTATTCAGTGGAGGTACGCTGCGTGACGACTGGCGCTTCAACACGAGCTGTGTTTGACAGAACACACGAGGTAGTGCTTTCACAGGAAGATATATCGCAGTAGGCTTGTACAAACACACACACTGAGTACAACTTGCTGGAGGTGTAGCAGTCAGTACACAACATTCCATGTTCAGTGTGGATTTAAGTAGAATGAGGAAATAGATTCAATGCATAAACATTTTCAAAGTGCAAAGGTTCAACAGCGGCTTATTGGTCACTTTTCTGAATGTAGCAGTTAGGGCACGGAAATGCTTTCATATGGTCAATAAGAAAGAACAAGATGTCAGTAATACTCAAACATACTGTAAGAATCGGACCTTTCAATTTTCCCTGAAATGGGCTTTAGATTAAGGGACTAGTGCGATCACGAGCCCCTGCATTCAACATGTCCATGCATCCTTGGGTAAGAAACCCCAAATGTCTGCTCATGGCCAAAGTTGTACTCTATGAATGTGTGTGAATGCTGACTGTTACAAGTAAAAGTGCTTTCAGGGGTCAAAGAGACTGGAAAAGTCCTGTATACAGTATATGCAATGCAGTTAGCATATTCCCAATCCAAGGAGTGGGAGTAACGGATTACAATAAAAAGTTACATGAAAACATATGTAATCAGATTACTGTTTCAAAAATATGGGGATCATTAGGACTACAATGTTACTGACAAACTTAAAAGAGCATATGATGTTTGTTGTAAGGCAGGTGAATTTATATGTTCATAAAATAGTGTGTGTGAGCTTAACTGTGTTTATTAAACTCAAACGGAGCATTTTCTGTCAGCTCAGATTGTATTTCTGCTTTTGTTAAACTGTAGTTTGTGCTCATGTGTTTCAGTGTTGGTGTGTAGGCTGCTGCCTGAATATGCTTCATGAAACGCAGCTTTTACTATTAATTACATCTCTGACCAAAGGACACATTTTATCTACTAAATATCATGGTTCTCTTCTACATCGTTCTTTTATATTGCATAATAAACTTAAGTAAAACAAATCTTATTGTTATTTATTTTCTCTTATTTATTTACATTGAGGGAATCCAAAATTAAGTAATCAGGCTACATTACTTTTTTGTTTTGACACTATGATTAGGTTGCTAATGAATGTTTTTCACATGTAAATAATTGTAATGGAATACATTTTTAAAGTAACCCTCTTTACCCCTGCCCAATCTGGTGCTTCCCAGTGATAATAATCAAAACATGGGCCCAAGTTAAGCACCATATTCATGGTTTGTGTGAGTAGCCATCGATCTCAGCCTCACTCAGTTTTGATCAGAAGAGAAACGCTTCCACTCGAGAGACACTTTAGGAGCTCCACTATCAGTTAGAGCGTCTCCAAAAAATGTTCAGCTAATTAGTTAACATCACCACTTCAGAGGAATCACTTTGTTGTTGCTGTTGCTGTTGCTTCAAAGTCCAGATCAGATCCTAATGAGCCTGCATGAAGTTGTGTCAGTGTTTGATGTTGTGAATGCACAGTCACGAACTGACACATTTTGAAAACTAGAATGAGCGCTCTCTAAGCACTGCAATACAGTCCAACTGTCAAACCAAGATTGTGTATGTGGATAAGCAATATTCAAGACCACCAAAGAACAACTCTGGAATCACGAACAATCTGCAAGTCATCAAGGAAACATTTTTTATTCATACTTAAGTATAGAATGGGATGGAACGTGTAAAACACTATCTATCCCTCAGTGTCACCAGAGGGAAGTCATCAGTCGCCTATTTAATGATATAATGGTGCGTCGATACCAAACGCAAAGCAAAGATTAGCCTTGTGTTACTTGCGGTCATTGCATTCCCGTGGCATAATTTGTGTTTCAAACAAAGATGCGCCTGCAAGGGGGCGGGGCTTATCTCCATGTACAAACCTAGATACTGAATGTTTTATGAATCATAGCCAAAATAAACACTACTGCTGCTTTGTGCATGTTAAAAGTATGTACAAGCAGCCAGGTATGTAAAAGTCCAGTGTGAACGCACCATAATCATCATGCAGGTCAATCCTGGATCAGATGTACATTAAAGGGTCTTGAGCATGTCCTCAGTGATTGTAATGTTGAATCTTGTTTCCATGTTTGTCCCGTTGCAAATGGAGCCGTCACTGTTGCTCTGACAGGAAAGTATTACGTGTCATTTTGTATCGTGTCAAACATGTCAACAAATCTACCAACTGACCCAAACTGGAACCGACCTCGTCCATCTTGGTCTCATCAAACATCACAACAATATATATTCATAACCATCTCAACCAACATCTGCTTTGATGAACAGCGCTACAACCATGTATTCCCATTTCTTACCTCTCTCCACGGTGGTGACCCCCATGGACGGCTGCCCCAGGCTGGCCTTGGTCTCCCACTTGCTCTCGTCGGGGTGGTACATCTCCACGGACTGCAGGGGGGTCTGCTGCTGGTTCATGCCCCCGAGCACCATCACCTGGCCCCCCAGCGCCACAGCCGAGGCCCCAGCCCTCGCAGTGGGCAGCGGGGGCAGCTGGCTCCACGTCTGACTCTCTACATCCAGGACTTCCACGCTGTCCAGGGGGGCGCCGGTCTCGCTGCAGCCCCCCAGCACATAGAGAAGGCCTTCGTGGTAGACGGGAGTGCAGTAGACGCGGCGCTGCGTCATGGGGGGGAACTGCTCCCAGTACAGCGACTTGACAGGACTCACCGCCATCTCCTGCACAGGCATGTCTCCAGGAAAGAGAGGAGGGGACACACCATCACACGCCGCACCAGGGGGGAGGAAGAGAAGGTGAGGGGGGGAAACTTGCTAAACGTTGAAATAAGCTTGTTCCTGTCGGTTTGATTGAGCGCCTGGGTGTCCAGAGAGGGTAAGTGAAAGATGGTTAGATGACAAGGAATGATGATGCTAGGGATACTAGGAGTGGGCAGAATAGGGAAAAGAAAAGGGAGAATGTATCTCACTCACTCCTCAGCCAGATGTCACGACACCCTCTATTCCAATGATTTATTCATTCTGCTGTTGGTGTTTTCGGCGCAGACAAGCCTTCTGCCCTTCACTTCCCTCTATTCCTTTCTATCCGGCCTTATCCTTCCCTTCGCCGCATCCTGTCGGGCGGCTATCTTCCTTAGAGTTTTGGCTTGAGTATATTCCTGGGGAATAGCTGCTTGAAGAGGGTGTCCAAGGGCATTAAACTTAATCCCACAAAAACCCTTCAAAGTCAAGAGTTGAGGAGTCGAAAAAGGGATAAACGAACGAGTGGGGCGGTGGCACCCGATCAAAGACTCAAGTGTGACAGTTAAGGAACGCTGACCTTCAATAGCGCCCTGCTAATCCAAGAGAGAGCCTTTATGTCAGAGCTTTGATGAAATGATTCACCTGCAGTTCTACACGCACTCTATCTTGGTGATAGAGTCTACAGTGGAAGAAATGATAGATGGACCAAAGTCTTTAAAAGAAAACTCTGCGGGAGTGTAATGACTGCAGGAGCTCCTTGCTTTTTAACAAAGATGTTCTTCCCTTAATTAAAGCAGGATTCCAAATCCCGCGAGCGTTGTTCTATGGCTGCTGTTAGGCACAGTGCGCTGTGAACTGTGTGCCTCGTTGCCTCCTGGTAGCTTTGGAGGCGATGAGAGTCCCTCGGAGGGGCCAAATCTGGAAGAAAAGACAACACAGGATTAGATGAAGAAATGGGAGTGTAAAGATAATCTTAAATAAAATGAAGAAGATGTGCTGTTTATGTGCTGAACAATTATGTGTTATATTCTTTCCAGTGGTTATATAGTGACTAATGAGGTAGCAGGGACTGAAACAAGAAGGCGTGTGTGTGTGTAGTTTCTGGTACCATTGACACAATCCAACACAATCCTTGGAGAGCAGTCTAAGTAAAAGATCCATGAGTTCTGAGGGTCATTAGATTTCAAAACTCTGCACAGTAGTTTATAATACCGAGGCACGATTCTACAACTAAACTATTACACTGGCAACTATTATCTTTTGGCGCAACTATTCCAAAGTTAACAGTAGAAATATGGCGTTCAAATCACAAAGTAATCTACAGGGATCATCCATATCGCTATCTACTAGGGATGTAACGATATATCGAATATCGCGGTAAATAAATGTCTCAATCCCGCCGTGAGACTGACAAAATCTACAGCGATTTTTTTTTTTTTTTAAATATATAGTTGTTTTTTTAAACCTTTATTTAACCAGATGGTCCCATTGAGATCATTGATCTCTTTTTCAAGGGAGACCTGTCCAACATGGCAGCAAGTAGGTTAAAACATGAACATAAAACAATAGATAACACAAAAGGACATCGTATTTACAGGGCTACATGTACATACCTAGAGACATTGAGAAGTACCAACAGTATATTTATATCTCACCCTGTCAATAAGCCTCACTTTCTTGGCAAAAACGGTATTGTTTTTGAAGTGGTGGAGAGACAATGCACAGTTTGACCCACTGCTGTCACCCATGGCCAAAGCATATCTCTCTGTCCCAGCAACATCAGTACCAAGCAAGAGAGTTTTTTCCACAGCAGGGGATATTGTAAATGCCCAAACATCCCAGCTTCCACCTGGAAATGTGGACATGCTCATATTCCTAAAAGATAACCTTGATGATGCTGAGTGAGTGAGTTAGTGAGTTAGAGTTGAGTTACTTGAAAAACTAAAGTGAAACTTGATTTATTCTATTGCAGGGTCTGATTATCATATTGTTGACACTTTAAAATACTACTATCCTACTAAAATGTTGTAGAAATCAGATTTATTATTTAATAAAGAAGAAAAAAAAAAAAGTGAAAAAGAAAAAAAGATTCACATTTTTTTTCTTTATTTTTCAATATCGCGATAAATATCGTACCGTGGACGTTTTATGGCGATATTATCATACCGTGAGTTTTTGGTATCGTTACATCCCTACTATCTACATCGCCAATTGGCCTCATTTTAATGAATGTGGTCTAAGACTGACTTCCCTATTTCACGAATATTTGATTTTGCATTTATTAAAAAAGAGAGAAACTCAAATCAGGGATGTTAGCCTTTGCAGACCATTTACATGCACAGAAAACCTAATATAACACATTACAGGACAGGTGAAACCCCAAAAAGCACAATAGATTCAACAATCCAATAAACAGCAGAAAAATGTTGGTCAATACATCAAGGGTTACAGCAAGACATGAGATCAATTCAATATTTGGAACTAAACCCATTTGGTATAGATTTTAAATCATTCATTAGTACAGCGTTCTTTATAAGGAAATTGTGATTTGAAAGATGCACATTTTGGCCAAGTGTGTGTTATAGGTTGAAATCATGAATCCCTTGGCTGATTACCAAAATATATTCTTAGTCAATGAAAGGTAATTCCTTTCAGTTCAATAGCATCGCACTCAGATTACAGTGAATGTAGTAATCAGAATCACAGCAATGAAACGTCTGGCTGTGCAGGAACTTCAGGATTCAGCTGTGACATTTAGCAGGTGCGAGGAGCAAGAAATGCAACACAATATGTCTGTATATGCATCAGGTTCTCCTCTGTGTCTGATGATGATGATGCCTTCTTCTAAGACAAAATTAATGGTCTGATCCCTGTGGACACGATGACCTTTGAAAGAGAGGAAGAGAAGCGACAGCAGAGAGGTAAATGTGTCCATACCTGCATTTATGTGTGGATTTATTTGCATATGATATTTGGACATCTTTGAGTGTCTACAAAAAAAAACAAGAAAAGATTTACAGAAAATACCAAGGAGCTCAGGATCATCAATTATCTGACAGGGGTGGGGAAGTCTCAACTTAAATTAATATGTTTTTCAAGTTTAAAAAGAGAAAGCAAAAGGCATGTGAAGTTTACTGTGTTGTGGTTCATGCTTTGAGGTTTTAACAAGGAAGAAAGCATGCAGTAAAATCAATCGAGATTTCTGGTTTGGCTGCAACAGTTTTTTTTAATCAATCCATTGCAATGCTAAATCAGTGGACTTCTCTTTGACATGTTACTGAAATCCAGTGAAGTAAAATAACAAATAAAAAAGTTGGGGAAATTCTGACAAAAGTTGTATGTACACATATTACATGACTAGTGACGCTGCTAAAGTAACAGTGTAACGCTTCTAGATACAGGTTCAGAATATGAGTATGGTATTGATATTGTCATCTAACTTTCAGCAAGAAGGGAGTTTCTCTCACACTGTGAACCTGGTCCTTCACACACACTCCCCTCCATCCTCCCCAAGGCTTAAAAAACACCTCTGTTTGACTCTTTTTTTACTTCAATAACATAGTGACATCACTATGTAACACTCGCATTTCATTGGCTAGCACTCCAACACATTGTACGTGATAGGCTAAGGGGACAGGATATCTTTAATGCCCCTTTTCCACCAAACCAGATGCAGTTCAAGAACCGTTCTTTTGCTTTTCGGTGCTGAACCGGTTCTTCTCTGTAGCACCACTTGTGTTTCCAACGCTCAGAGCCCGAGTGGAGCTCGAGTAAAGCTGCGTCATTGCGTCATCATTTGCGTCATCATTTGCGTCATCACGTAAACGTTTACGTGCCTTCTTATGACACCCATACGGTGCAAAAATCCCTCATATCGACAACAACAATGATCCGGTAGTCTTTCTTGAGTTTTTTTTAGCTTGTTGCTTGTTTGCTCCAGAGTCCGGTGGTATCCAGAGGTGGCCAACTGCCGCTGCAGCTCCTGGAGAATAGCTTTAGACCACGTTGTGCCGTCCAACTTCCTCTGTACCTCTTGCGTTGACCAAAGCCTGAGGAGGTCATTTGTCTCTTCAGCTCTTCACTCTCTGACTCTGTGGCAGAAACACTTGTCCACGCTTAATCACATCCCGTCTGGACTACTGCAATGGAGTTCTGTCCGGGGTTCCTAGCAAAACCCTGGACAGGCTCCAATAATACCTCCAGAACTCTGCCGCCAGGCTTCTCACCCGCACCAAGCCATGGCAACATATCACCCCCTCATCCACCAACACTGGCTGCCGGTCAAGTCCCGGATTCAGTACAAAACACTCCTCCTCACGTACAAGTCCCTCCATACCCTCGCCCCCCAGTACTTATTGGACCTCCTCCATCCCTACACCCCTTCTCGGAGTCTGCGGTCCTCAGACACGGGCCTGCTCTCCATCCCCTGCTCTTGCCTCCGAACTGTTGGCGACAGGGCGTTCAGTGTTGCGGCCCCCCCCCTCTGGAATGTACTTCCTCCCTGGACATCTTC